CTGTCTTTGACAGGTCCTTCTGACTGGTTTGACAGTTGATTTTGACAAGCTTGTTGAGTGTTCCAATAAGTTTGACATTATTGAGTTCATGAACTTTTTACACATATTTATGTCCACTTTTAGCAATCCAAAAGTTTACCTAAACTCTCCCGGGGGTAGGTTACCTGCACAAATGGCATCTAATCTGGCCCAGAAGCTAGATCTAAAAAGGCACCTCTTCCCTCCAAAGGAATACCTTGATTTTTCAAGTGAATTCACAGAGTTCAGACCTGCTCTGAGCAGGCCTAATCTGCACATTCGGAGTTTCATACTAAAGGGATGTCAAAATGCGACGGAGGCAGTTACTGGTTTAGATGGTCAGCTGACTTTGCAAACGGTCCATGCCTGTCGCTTGGCCTGTCTCCAAAGACACCCTCATGCAACACGAAATGTCATGTTGAGGAGTGAGGCAGGAGTGGTAATTTAGAACTTCCACCATTCATTTCAGATGTTTTTATCACTTTGAAGAGCCTCCAACCATGAACCCCAATTAAAAATTGCATCAGACATATAGCTGATGGACACAACATGGAGTCACAGAATTGCTACAGTATAGAAGGTAACCATTTGACCCTATTGTGTCTTTCCTATTTTTAATTCAAGAGCTACTCACCTGATGACCTTTCTCCATAACCCTGTAAATTTGTCCTATGAGGTTACTCAGAAATCACACATCCTTCCATTCTTAAATCTTTTGGCTGCTTTTGCTGTTTATTCATTCCACCAGTCCTGCCCACCATCATATGTAATTATTTACCCGGAATTTGTTTCACAGTGACACATATTAGACTGGCCTCCCACGCAGGACATATTTAACCTCAATTAACTTGCTAAACGAAACAGCTCTTCCTTCAAGAAATTTCCATTCAGAGGTTGCTTCGGGTGAGATGCACAGAAAAGATCACAAAGGCTGTGACAATTCAATCCCACCACGACAAAGTTTCAATTTCTATCATGCCTACAGGCTAACTACAGTTTGTTCTCCAGTTATTTCTTAAAGCCTTCTTAATTATCCCAACAATCCATTAATTTATGATCAGTCATTCATGTTCTGCAGATATTTCGGATTATTATTACTGAATTTGATATTGAGTCATGAAGACTTCAGGGACCCCAAGCGGAAAATGATGTGTTGCTCTTCCAGCCTGCACTGAGCCTCACTGGAGCACTGCAGCAAGCTCAAGACAGAGATGCTGGCCAGGGATCACAGTGCTGTGTTGAAGTGCAAGCAACAGGACCTTTCACACTTAATATCGAGTGCAATAATTTTAGGGCCTGAGCACCTTCTCCCATGTCCTTACCCCAACCCCAACCCCCACCCAGCCTGAGCATCACATTGGCTGCTACCACAAACAACCCATTGTCAGCCACTAATGGTCACCATCAAGCACCAACTGATTTTCCCAGGTTGACCTCTACCCATCCAGATGATTGTCCAACAGTTGTCCTCTCTTTCTCTCTCTGGGCTCCATCTCCACCCATTGTTTACTCCTACCCCCTTCCCCAACCCTATATTCAGCACGTATACTAATTTGATTTTTACTAGTTATAATCAGATTTGTAGAACCCGAAACATTAATTCTGCTTTCTCTCCACAGACGTTAACAAGACCTGCTGAGTTTTTCCAGCAATTTCTGTGTTTATTTCTGATTTCCAGCATCCACAGTTCTTTGTCTTTTTTCTTGTTTACAGGCTTGGAGTTCATTTTTGGATGTGCAGTTTGGTGGATTTAGCGAGAAGCCCGATGGCCTTCTTGATGAGCAACAGCAAGATTTCTCCCTAGCAAGCTGTGTCTTCCAAGCCTTCTCCCGAGCAAGCTGTGTCTTCC